AATCTCGGTTGGACTACTGCAATTCACTTTTCTTCCGGGGCTACCAAATCTAATTAAAATCTATTAACCTTTAAAATCTTACATGGACTATCACCTCCTGTATCTGTCATCCTTAATTACCCCGCAAATATCTACAGGCTCCCACGTCACATAATGCAAGTCTCCTTTCCATCCCCAGAATTCACAATCATCCGTAGGTGGGCACGAGCCTTTTTCATTCCGAGCACCTCTCTTTGAGTCGTCTTCCATTTCAGATCCGCTAAGCTAATTTCCGTTGACATCCTTTAAAAGCAAACTCAAACCCATCTCTTCACATCCTGTCTCCTTGAAAACTAATTTCCCATCACCTAAGTTTTCGGCTCATCAATTACCATCCACTTCAGTCACATGCTTTTATGCAAATAATGTTTTTATAATTTATATGCTATGAGTTTTTATTTTGTTTTTGTCCTTTCGCTTTGTTTGCTTTGTACAGCCATCTGAGGCATTTCTTGTGAACTCCACATCACAAGAGATTCAGTTACAAGTTTCTAAAGTACTAAGAGCTGATACAGAGAGAATTGTTTAAGCTGTTTAAAGTGGACTCTATATCATATGGTTATGTTGTTAGAGAAAAACAAGTGGACCCTAAAAGGTGGAGTTTTCCTCTGAGTAGGCTGAAGTGTTGTGTTAATGCTGCTTGTTTAACCCTTAGATGCCATAAGTGGGTCTTTTTTGGACCCGGTGAGGTGGTTTTCTTGGAAGTATCTTTGTAATTACATTTTTGTATCATTTCATATTCCAGCTATTCCTCAAAAACACTGTTTTGGGATATCATGCCATTTACATTTTAAAATTGTACATTTTAAGAAATTGGTAGTTTTTGGTTATTTCTACCCCAAAGCTTCCATAAGTGGGTCAAAATGACCACAGACTACCATCCACAAGTGACACCTCTCAGGAAGATTATTTTACACAGCAATATCTGATACCTGTCAGTATTAATAATAAAAATAATATGAATAATTATGAATATAATTGAATAATAATACATTATATTTTTATCAGGGCCTTTTCAAGGATCTCAAACTCGCTTTACAATATAAAAGGGGAAGGTTAGGGTGGGGGGTATAGGACTATCCAAACTTGATTCAACTGGCGTGGATTTGATGGGGGGGGGGGGGGGGCTACTATTAGACAAGAGGAGAAGAGGTGAGTTTTGAAAGGGAATGGAATACTGTGAGGGTCTCAGAAGTGCGGAGATCTTTGGGACATATGTTCAAAAACGTTTTTTTTCAAAATGTAAAACAAAAAATTGTGAAAAATTAAATATTATCTAAATGTGAACCAAAATATAATACTAAATATTATACAAGTGGATTTTTCCTTTAACCAAAATGACATAAATGGCATAAAATACACATTATTCTAATACGGGTCCTTTTAGACCCATGGAAGAGTGTAGGGTCCCAGTCACCCGTGCATCGAAGTGTTAAGGGTAAATATGATCAGATGTACTACCAGTGTATTGAACAGAGACTCTGCCTACTGTTGTTTGAGAAAGATCTGATGAATTCAGTTTGTATTTTCCTTTAGACAGAAACAGAGACTAGTTCCCTGACAGTGTGGCTGCCTCCCCTCTGACTAACTAAGGTTTTCTCTTGATAGCTTTAGGGGAGCAAAGGTTCTGCTTCAACAGGTGGTGTCAACCAAGCGTTTCTTATCATTTTTTTTTTTTTTTCTTTATTATGATCAGGTTTTACTTTTAATCCAGAAGAGTTCCCAGTTACATTTATATGGACACATATGTCAGTAAATGTATCAATAAGTATCCACTCAAAAACTGAAATATATATGCATCCAATAAACTAAAGGCCTTATTAGACATTGAATATGTAACTTTAGTGGGTCCATGGATAACAAGGAAGACTGAGTGTTTTCCTCTCAGGCGCATCCCTCATTGGATTATTAATGGCTTTTGTTGCCTAATTAAAGCAATCATATTATTGTTTTCACTTTTTCCTCGTGAGATATTGGGTCTCGATTGAAATGAGTTGTTGCCTAATGCTGAATCATAAACCAAAATGTTAAATTCCTCAATGCACTGTATAAAAAGAGACAATAGAGAATGATATCTCCCAGTGATTGAACCTCTTAAATCAAGGTCACCTTACATTTTAAAGGAGCAGTTAAAGCCATGAAAAAAATACTACTCTTGCTGTTTTACAAGAAGTTGTTAAATCCATTTCTTGGTGAATCATCTGTTGTTTTTGATTTTGATTTCCTTGTGTCTCTGTTGCAGGAAGGAAAAAGCAGCAGGTAGTCACAGAGCATGGCAAAGGTGAGCACAAACAGTCCTTATCATGTTGTAACACTTCCTCTTATCTCCTATTAGCAGTATATTGGCTCTTTATTAGTCATTATAAAACAATTATTAATGCCTTATTCTACATGACCAACACATTCTCACTCCCAACTCGGCCTTTGTTGACGTTTTGTCAGGGTCCCTGTCGTCACTTTCCAACGCAAGGGGGGGCCCTTTAGCGTCGAGTTTCAACTATCAGGGAGTCCCATTGACTTGCATAGAGCTCCCTGAACGTTGGTAATAGACGAGTTGGGATTGCGGCGAAATGCTCTCTGCAGATCCACTCTCACAGCGTTTATCAACCTTTTTCTTACTCAATATCATGGATCATAAATACAGTTGAGGCCTACATTATTAGCCCCCCAGGAGTTATGGAACATTTTCCTGAAATTCTTCCAAAAATATTAGCCCCGAGGCCATTAATAGTCAATAGTGTACCCTTTCTGAGCCACAACTGACAACAACCTCTTAGAGTAGTTCTTTACTAGGTTGGCACAGGTCTCTTGAGGGATTTTGGCCCATTCTTCCATTGCAAATTGTTCCAGCTGATCCAAATTGCCTGGTTTCCGAGCATGGACATTCACTTTGAGCACCCGCCACAGATTCTCAATAGGATTAAGATCTGGGCTCTGTGCGGGCCACTCCAGCACCTTGGTTTTGGTGTCCTTTAGGAACTGTTGGACCAATTTTGACGTGTGCTTTTGGTCATTGTCTTGTTGGAATACCAAGCGACCTAAGCGAAGACTAAGAGCAGATTTTTTCATATTATCCCTCAAAATGTCAACATCATTTTAATTTTTCATGATGCCTTGCACCCAAACAAGGCTCCCTGTGCCTGAGGCTGCAAAACAGCCCCACAACATGATGTGTTCTTAGGGTTGAAGGCCTCTCCCTTTCTTCGCCAAACATAAGCAACATCCATGTGCCAAACAGTTCCAGTTTAGTCTCATCAGACCAAAGCACAGACTTACAAAACTCATCTTTACCTTTCAAATGTTCACGGGCAAACCTCAGTCTGGCTCTGATGTGCCACTCTTTGAGTAAAGGGGTTCTTCTGGGACGATGGCCCTGAAGCCCACCACGATGAAGAGCCCTCACAACTGTGTTCCTTGAAACATCAACTCCAGAAGAGGCCAGGTCAGCAACAATCATCTTGGCAGATGTCTGGGGATTCTTGCTGACATCTCGGACTATATTCCTCTCCAGAGTTCTTGAAATCTTGCGCTTTCGACCACGCCCAGGTCTGTTTCTTACAGAATGTGTCTCCTTGTACTTCGCAATGATGCAACGTACAGCAGTTCTTGACACTGTGAAGCGCTTGACAGTATAGCCTTCCCCCTTATCACGAGCCTCCACTGTCTTCTTTCTGAGCTCGAGACTGATTTCCTTTGTCTTTGGCATGGTGAGTAGGAGTAGTAGTATAGTCCCTCTCAATAAGGTATCAGAGTGCCTGTTTCTTGGAGTCCTTTTATGCTGATTGAATGCTCAGGTGTGGCTTGAAAGCTGATTGGTTGATTAGGCGTGGTTTGAAAGCAAAGATTCACATTTTTCTCTATATTTGGTATAAAGCAAGCCTAAAAACGTATTTTATTTCCCAAAAAGTACCAAAAGCTACTAAATAGCACTGGTGAATGTTTGATTATATCAATTTTTATCAATGCTGGAAACATTGGGAAGAATTTTAGGAAAATGTTCCATAACTCCTGGGGGGCTAATAATTTAGGCCTCAACTGTATGTTTGCTTGGGCTGTTGTGTTTTTATGTATGGACCGAAGAAGAATAGGTGCTGCAATATTTGCCAAATAAACAACTACAGCCATTGAACAAACGTATTTCCAGAAAAATTTACTAATCCTCCTTCAGCAAACCTTATTGTGTCTGGCCATATTTTTATAAACCATCAGATTATAAACTCTAGCCTAGCAGCCATGCAACTCATTGAGAACAGTAGAAATCCAGAGATTGTCGTATGGCTGTCGGCCATTTGCACTCTGCGTTGCATGTAGTTCTGAATGACCAGTCCACTGACAGTCTGGTTTACTGACTGGTCTTTGAGTGGCTTGCTGTTAAACTCACTGCTTTACAAGACTGGCAGCATGGTTGATTTAGCAGAAGCTTTTTCAGTCTGACACTGGGGATTTATTTATTTAAACCAATCTGATTTATGTTGAGCTGTGAATCCATTAGGTTCTTCTAAAAAGCCCTTGTGTCTGTGTTTTGATGGTTTGTATCGACTCTTCCCTGACTGAATGACTGACTGGTTGGTAGCCTCTCCTTTTACAGTTATTTGTTGATGTGTGATTACAGTCCTATTATCATGTCTCAACCTTGGATTTTTTTTTGAGTGAGTGTAGATTTGCGCAAGTTCTCTTTCATATCTTTATGACTATTAATGTAGCCTGATCTATGTCATAACAGATATGCAGTCAGAATGACAGACTGGTGGTGAATGAGAGGTTGTGAATGTTTTACTGTCAGCTATTCTTTCAGCAATGTGTTCCAAGGGTTTAGTTAAGGACGTTTTTCTTTATGTAAATGTTCTTAACCAGTTGGTTTTTATTGTCCTTGACTGAGCTTATGTCGAGTGAGTAGCAAGATTATAGAATGCTCTTTAACTATGCAGTCAAATTTAATCTCTGTCCTCTCTCTTTTTCAGAATATGACGGCAAGTTAGCCCCTGCCGGAGCATCTGAGTCAGGCATGGCGTCGTCATCCTACCTGGAACCAAACCTCAATCACTCGGCAGCGAGTGGCTGTGGGGTTAAATCCCGGTCTGGGATGCCTGGAGGTCCGGGTGTTGGTACCAGCGGCCCGGCTGCAGGCCTTGAGCGGCCCACAGCCTCCATGGACCGGGTTCTGAAGATCTTCCATTATTTTGAAACAAACAGCGAACCGTGCACCTGGGCTAGTAATATCAGGCATGGAGATGCTACAGACGTCCGGGTAAGTCAAACAAACATGTTGTACATTTGTAGCTCTCCATCATCCTCTTTTCCCTGATGCTTGCTTGTTTCTTTGTCTCAAACTGTCTCTTGTTTCAACAGGGTGTGATCCAGAAGATAGCAGAGATCCACAAATTGCGTTGTGTGTCCTCTCTGGGCCTCCGTCTCAGCCATCTGCACTCTGATGCTCTCCATTGGTTACACCCTGATTTAGGCGTGTGTCACGTCAGGGAGAAATATGAGAAACAGCACCCCCAGGAGGAGTGGAGGTAGAATTACAACAAAAAGCAATGTTTAACCCTCACTGTCTGCTCCCACTACTTGTCTGCCATTTCTTCAATTGTTTTTCTGTTACCATAAGGCATATTAAAGCCAGCTGCGATTGAGGTTCAAGATTATTAAGTGAGCTCCCTTCATCCTTAATGTTGTGCTAATATGTAGCAACAGGCCAAAAAACATAACATTATTTTCTTCTCCTCCAAGGCGCATTATTAATACAAACATGTCATCTTTTATAAATGCCCCATTGGGCTGTAAAGGGCCACCACTTGTTTAAGCTACACAACTTCCAACCAAGAGTATTTTTAATTCTCCCTTAAAAGCTACAGCTACATAACATATGGCCCCAATTAAACGAATTTATGGTTTCAATAAACCTGAATCATACTTATGTGATCGCCTGTGCACAGGCAGTAATAAAAGTAACAACAAAGTATTTCATATTGCTCACTTTTACCACCGTCCTTGTCTTTCTTGAGATTCAGAAGTCTCAATATAATGGGTTTTTCCACACTCATGATGGATGATGTTTATCTAAATTTGAAGGATCAATTACTTAACTTTCAAGCAGTGATTAGTTGTTGCTTGTGTGTTTGTTGTACATTTATAGAGCCTTATTCTACCCCTTTATTTGATACAGTATTCCAATAAGCCATGTAGGGATGATTTGCCCTGTTTGATGAAGGGGATTAAGCTGCTTGTTATTTGAAAGCAGCTTTACCTGTTTTCGTCCTACACTCAAACTATGCTGGCTCTTGGCCATCTTCAGTTGCCACAGCTCTCTTTAGAATTCAGTCTTTTTTCCTGCAGTCTATTTCTTACACCCAAAGTCATTACAATTGAAATGAGTTCAATATGAAGGGGTTGTTCACACGGCTAACAGGCAGCAGAGCAGCTCTGCCAGTTGTTGCAGCTTTGCTTCTGACGGCTGCAGAGCTACGAGCCCACAGGAGCTTCTGCTGCTGCCGAGCTATTGTTAGATCAGCAGAAGTAGCCCAGGGGATGGACTGACTCTCTCCCCGATCTCTCGCTCCCTCGCGTGTTAGCTCTCGTGCGCTCGCAGTCACTCGTTTTTCCCTTGATATTTCCCCTCCATCCTTCTTTCTCTCATCTCTCACATCTGTCCTTTCTTTCTTATCCAGCTCTATCTTTTCTCTCAAACACGCCCCGTTGTATCCCTTCTCACACTCATTTTGGTTCATTCATTATAGAACGAGGATGTTTTATTCATTTTGTCTTCAGCCTTGATTTCCTTTGTTACCTAACAGTCCTGTCCCATCACAGCAGCTTGAAGCTCAACTCTCCTGACCCATTTCTCTCCGCTGTAGTCACTGCAATATGCCAGTCATGAAATAATATATCGCTTTAAACTATGATGGCCCATCTGGGTACTTCTGGGACACAGATAACTGGCAAGTGTAACACGAGGAATGGCATTCTGCTCTATGACATTACAAGGTTATCACTTTCAGTTAGTTCACTGTCAGCTAAATATGAAATCCTGTCTTACAGTTCCACTAGACAGATATACGGTGCATAGGAAGGGCAACTTTCAGTTTAAACTGTTTCAAGCCCAGTGTTGGCAAACAGCCACGCTGCCGAGGTGACTTTGAGCAAGAAATTGAATCTACTGCGAGAAGCAAACTCGCCAGGGCCACAATGTGTGCATTACAATGACTCTAGATCTGTATATAGCAGAGCTGTGTGATAAAGCTAAAACTTTTTTGGTTTGTTTTAAAGCCTTACGTTTTACAAGATATAGTATTTTCCTAATCTCTAGATTTTTCGAATCAGGACTGCGTTGTAGGTTCTGTGATATCCTCTCAGATATCTGTTTGTCATTCAAGTCTTTTACATTGGCAAGTCAGATGCACAAATATTTAAATCACAAGTGTTCTGTTTTAAAATGCTCCAGGCCTTCCTGTTTTTAAACATTCAAAATGATGTGGTACATTTTCTGTCACATTATAATATAGGAAAATGCTCAATCCAACTTTTAGATTTTTTTTTTTTAAAGTGAAGGTTGTTTTATGTGCAAGTGAATAACACTGTGCTTATATAAGTGAGGCTCCAGGTTGTTCAGGCCTTTCATTCTCGGCCGAAGTGGGGGTTTAACATTTATTTAGGTCTGTATGCGTCATCTGTATGAATGAGTAATTATGTTCATTCTTGCTCTAGGCCTCCAACAGCCACTGAATTTAAATGCTGCAGGTTATTTTCTCTCTCTGTGGGTGTGCGGGCTGACTGTATGGTTATTTTAGCCAAAATTGTCTCTGTCGTTTTCAGGTATGAGTTGCGGATGCGGTACCTTCCTAAAGGTTACCTCAGTCATTTCTCTGAAGACAAACCCTCTCTTAACTACCTCTATCACCAGGTGAGGCAACACGGCAGGATCACGTAAAAAATATGAGATAGAAAGGTGTCCTCTTTATGAAATAATATTAACCAGTAAAAAATAGAAAGAATCTGCTCTGTCACTTCCTCCTTATCGCTTTTACATCTAACAAGGCAGACATACCTTGATACATGTAACTTAAAAACACATTTCATTCTGCTCTTACATGAGTCTGTACAACTTTGTCCTAACACCATTGTTGTTATTAAACATTGCTCTGTTGCACTGTTTCTCTCCAGGTAAAAAGTGACTACATGCACCATATAGCTGATCAGGTGGATCAAGATGTAGCTCTAAAACTGGGCTGCTTGGAAATTAGGTGAGAACATACTGTACCAACAATAGCTGTTATGCCAACAGCATGAGAAAATCAACACAATTATTCTGTTAAACAAACATTGACTATTAGTCACTGCGTATATCAGAAAAGCTTTCCAGAATATCTGAACTTAAATTCAATCTATAGATGACAAGTGAATACCGTTTCACCGTTTCTCTCTGAATCCTACAGGAGGTTCTTCAGAGAGATGCCAGGCAACGCCCTAGACAAGAAATCCAATTATGAACTACTAGAGTAAGATTCTATTCGGTTCAAACTGAAGAAATTGTGTGATGGTAGATTTCACCTATTCAAAGTTAAATATTATTTTATTTTTTAGGAAAGACGTTGGCTTAAGAAGGTTCTTCCCCAAAAGCCTCCTGGACTCCCTAAAGGTGAGGTTAAACTACTGTCAGTGTATTTAATATGATTAGTTAAACTGGACATGGTCTCTCATTTAAATTACATTTCCATATAGCAAAAGTGACAGTGTTGAAATGTCTTTGTGAATCCCAGCCTGGCTTAGTCGGCTGGATGAGCTAATGGCTGTTTGACTGAGCGACCGGCTGAGTGACAGCCAGATCTTGATGACTGAGTGGATGTCTGGCCGATTGTCAGATAATCTCATCGTATTGAATTAGTTAAACGTCCTGTTGTCACTCCCAGTGTCCGTTTTCTTGGCTCTGCATCAACTTCCTCCCAGAAAGACTTAACCTTTGTTTTTTTCTTTGTTCCCTCTCTATCAGGCGAAGACTCTTCGTAAGCAGATCCAACAAACCTTTAAGCAGTTTGCTAACCTCAACGATGAGCAGAGCATCCACAAGTTCTTTGAGATACTCTCTCCCATCTACCGCTTCGACAAGGAGTGCTTCAAATGTGCTTTGGGGGTAGGGCAACACTCCATTCATAAAGACAAAAAACGACATGTAAAGATAAATTGTGGGATCCATTCATACATTTTCCATACCTGAAAATGCGCTTTCAGCCAGGAGGGTTAGGCCTATTAAAAATTCACAGGGTAGAAATATTTAAAGTGGAAAGTCATTTTTTATTTAGATTGCTTGTCAGAACCATGCAGGGAAAGGTTAGCAATTGTGTTTTCTGCATTTGTCCCACAGTCCCGTGTTCTTATTATACTTTTCTCTACAGCAATGCATTATCACTGTCCTCTGCATAATGCAAACCCTTCTCTGTCCTAGAGGGAATATAATGCTAAAAGTACTTGAAACAGAAGAGAACGTTAAAATAGTTCTATGCTATCAATATTACATTGTTGCAAGTACTTAAAAAAGCAGTTGATATGAGGAAATGTGACATCTGTTTTAATGCTGTATTCTTCCATCTGTTTTTATTTCTCCCCCTCTAGTCTAGTTGGGTAATATCGGTAGAGTTAGCTATCGGACCAGAAGAAGGAATCAGCTACCTCACAGATAAGGGCTCAATGGTAAGTATGTACTTAAGATATGACTCATCTCACAAGGTCATCCTCAGTTTAGATTTATTCTTTTGAGATTTCATTTTTTCCAGCAAAGAAATAATCGAGGTCCCTTATTTTTTCCCTTCTTTCTTCACTATTTTAGACTGCATTGGTGTTGAATGCTAACTACTGCTTTAGGCATACTTTTAATTTGAAGGCCAGAGTGGCAATCCACCATACTGCCATCTACTGGTTTTCAGCTACAGGGGACAGAGTTCTCTTCACCCTTGTTCGAGTTGAAATGACTCTGTAAAGGAATCCATTAAAGCCATATGTTTGAGCACCTGGGGACATGATTACACATATACACAACCTCATTAAGATGTGCTTGGTACAGGGATGAAGGAAGCAGCTGCACACCTGTAAATCCAGTGCTGACATTGAGTTATTAAAATTCTACTTAATGATAACTGTCCGTCAACATATCTAGAATGAATTAAGTTGATTATTGTATGATAATTAAACGGTTTGACCTTTTTATAAACACATTGAAACTTGGTGTTGCTCAGTGTTAGAAATTTATAAATTCTGTGGTTGCTATTGTTGTGTGTAAAAATAGAAATACATGACCAACTGGTAAACATATGTATACAGTTCTTTGAGTAGATAATGTCCACTGAGCTTGAATAAATGGCAGCATGATTTTATGGAAAGTTGTACCTTATCGATTTGTATTTATTTCTTTATGTATTTGTCTTTATTTCAGCAGCCAACACATTTAGCTAACTTTAACCAGGTGCAGTCCATCCAGTACTCTCCTTTGGAAGAGAAGGACAGGAAAGGCATGTTGCAGCTCAATGTAGCAGGAGCGCCAGAGGTGAACACACACACACACACACACACACACACACACACACACACACACACACACACACACACACCGTACATACTATTATTGCATTGTCTATTTGGATATAGGGTTTGCAGTTATACCTCGTGCTTTATTACATTTGTTGATAAATGTCCCNGGTTTGAATGCAGGTGAACACACACATACACACACACACACACACACACACACACACACACACACACACACATACACACACACACACCGTACATACTATTATTGCATTGTCTATTTGGATATAGGGTTTGCAGTTATACCTCGTGCTTTATTACATTTGTTGATAAATGTCCCTTTTTTTACATTAAAGAGATTCTACTTTGTTAAACATTGTTTTCTAATGAGTAGTAATAAACATTCTACAAGAAAACCTCAAAAGGATGTAGAAAAGAGGGAAACATCACCCAGTAGGGGGAAGCGGGTGTTGCCATCTGCACTTGAGTGTCAGTGTGAGTGTGTTGTCGGGATTGAGTGTGTGCCTTGCAGCAGGCCTTACTAGTGGAGAAGCATGTGTGCCTCAGTGCAAGAGTGTCTGTGTATGGATGTGTGTGAGTGCGTAGAAGACTGTGTGTGTGTGTGTGTGTGTGTGTGTGTGTGTGTGTGTGTGTGTGTGTGTGTGTGTGTGTGTGTGTGTGTGTGTGTGTGTGTGTGTGTGTGTGTGTGTGGTTGTGTGTGGTTGTGTGTGTGTGTGTACTGGTAGACGTTATCCCTAATAAAGCTCTCATTGTGTCACTGTGAAGAAACGCTCTGTCCCACTAATCCCGAGTGTGTATGTGTGCGTGAAGCCCCTCACAGTCACAACGGCATCGCTGACTACGGCAGAAAACATGGCTGACTTGATTGACGGCTACTGTCGGCTCGTCTCCTTAACTTCTCACTCTTTCATCGTCAGAGTCCACAAAGGTAGGACGCACAACTCCTCTTACATATCGTTTTGCAGTAACATGATGATTGTGATTATTTTTATGTTTACGATTGGTAATAATATCGTGAAGCAAAGAAAAATGTCCGTGTACTATAAATAGTATTCTGGTTTGCCATCTTTCAAACGGTATACAAGTCATATTGTGGCTGATGAGGCTTTACACATGTCACTTTGAATAACCAGCAGATGTTAAGCTAGGGCTTCTAAAAATAGCTATGGCTCCAAAGAAATGGCTGCGGTGATGTCCTGGATCTAATGAATGTTTTGATTTTGTTTTTCTGCAGAGGGGGACAGAGCTCTGCCATCCATCCCCAAGTAAGTCACCAGACTCATTTAGTTTACATCAGTTGTTTTATCAATAATCAACAAGGCATCAGTTTCCTGAGAAACACAAAACATGAAGTCAATGTTCAGGTGATGCATTAGAAAATATCCAGAATATGAATGGGAATTTGTGGAGACATTAGTATTTTCTTTTTATTCCACGGCCCGAGTCCAGACCAGCATATTGATCTTCATGATAACATTATAGGACATTTAGTTGCCAGTATAGTGAAGGGAATTTCCTTTATAAGAAATAGACACTTTTTGTCCTTAATTGTCTGATCTTCTACATTGTCAAGTTACACACATGACAGGATGTGAAAGAGCTCTCATTCCTCTGCTTGTATCTACTATAGCTGCAACTGTATACTTTATGTTTTGGTTAACATAAGTCCAAAAACGGATTTTCTCATCTCTTGTTCAGAGTTTCAAATCATGAGAGGCGGATGGAAAAGCGGATGGAAGGAGTACGGACCCGGGCTGTTTGTGTCTCAGGTATAAATGCTTGTCCCGCTTTCTCCTTTCCTGTTGGTCTGTTTTTCCCCTGTCGATTTTCCTGTCTGTCTTCTGCTCTAAATGTCAGGAATGACAGTGACAAGCAGTCAGATAAAGGCCGCATAGATATGCGTGCTGCTCCCTCTATAAAGCCTCATCTGTGTGTGCAGTGAAGAGTCCTTGTCTCGCCAGATGTCCCCATGGAGAGCTTTAGTCACTGTCTCTTCCTCTGACTGCCTACTGACCTCTGACTAACTCAACGTTACACACAGTTAAATGAAAAAGACCATAGCACTAGCTATAGCACTAAGTCAATAAATCATAACACTGACCTTTTTCTCATACATTTTAACAATAAAACTAATCCTTTCTTTCCCCCTGTGTGTATTTCATGCTGCTTCTGCAGGTCAGACTAGTGGCGATGGTAAACAATCTTTCTATTAACCCCAATTAGTGACTCAATAGTATTTTGAGCCTACTGTATGTACGTATATCTCTGTATCTGCCTGTAACTGTTTCAGCCTTATCCATGACTCAACCTTTTATTCTGTAACTTGTTTCTGTGGAAAGAATGACTTTTCCATCCCTCCCCTTTCCTCTTTTCTGTCCCTCCCTCTCTGTTGTACTCCGCTGTCCTACATTCTCACTCTGGCTGTTTTATAGTAAATGCATTTTTAAATTGCTGTTAATGTGTTTGGATTTGGGCATATTGAGGATCTTTGGGAAAGGTACATCTGTGATGATGGTTACTTTTGCCTTTTTCACTCATTGTTTTTATTTAAAGATGTTCACATAGCTTCCTGAGTTGGTTTATGTTTTGTCTGATAGCTTTCAAGTAGTAATTAAGAATCTGTCCAGATGGCTCAGCATGTTAAATCAAAGTGTAGTGTCATGTGTAAGCTTGTTGGCAACTCTATCTCTGTTATTATTTTTATTTAGTTTAACCAACTTCGACTAAATGTTTCTCTGTTCTTTTATTCCCTCACCCCTTTTGCTCTGTAGAAACGGACGACTATGCTGAAATCATAGATGAAGAGGACACCTATACCATGCCTTCAAGTAAGTACACACACACACACACACACACACACACACACACACACACACACACACACACACACACACACACACACACACACACACACACACACACAATTACAACATTGTAGGCAGCTGGTGTTGAGAAAAAACACCAAAGGTCATCATTGTGCACCTGTTGGACCTCTTGAGACATGCGAGAATGCGTAGAGAGTGAAAGTGAGCGATATCTCAGGACATGAATGTGTGTGTCTGTGTTTGTGAAAAGAGATTATGTATGCATGTTTTATCAGGCATTTCCTCATGGTTGTTAATATTCAATCAAAACATCTTCCACTGACAAGGTAACACGATAACTAATCTTTTATTTAATCTAGTAATTAGCGTTACGACTGTAGTGCAACCGGATATACATTATTCAGAGTATAAAGAGTATCCTGAAATACTTTAAATGAGCTGTTCAAAATGTTTCATCATACTCCACATTACTGGAGGATCTAATGATAAGTTGGACCTAATTATAAATCTATTCACACTTTAGCTATAAATTATGCTCTTTAGATTGGTGTATAAAGGGATGGCAGGCAAGATGATGACAGACGCTTGAATGAATGAACATTTTCCGTGGTCACATGTAGCTATCTTATAAAAAAGAGGAAACCACTTGAATCACATTTTGCTTCATATTAATAGGTCTGCAAACTGTATTTGTGTCAGTGAGATGTCTCGGCTTCCTCAAACTGCTTTGAGATATTATCCCGCTGCTATGTTTACGGTACAGTAAACATTTTCTCACAGGCTCTGTCTCCTGGTATTCACCCTTTTTAAGATAAGTGTTCATCTCGACAGCTACAATGTAGAGTTGTATTTGGCGTTAAAGGGATAGTTTGGGTCTTTTGAAGTGGGCTCTCTGCATTTTTGCGGAAAATGGGATTATGTATGAGAGTACACATTAAGAGGGCCCTGCTGTGCTGCTGTTGCTGCCATGTGGAGCCTACCCACCAGGTTTAGGATTTTTCATATTAAGCTCACCGAAACGCTGAGAGATGATGCTAAAAAGGCAACATTCGCAGGCAGAGGAGATTTAACACATTAATGTATGACCGAAAAGGAGCTGGGATGTTAACTGCCTTAAAATGTTGCCTGGCTATCACAAGCTTAAGTTGATACATGCAAGCAAAAATATCAACATGGCTTTGCTTTTTGTCCATTCATAAATGATAGCTTTCACCAAAGCCCTGTGGGCAGATGTAAACTCACAAACACAGAACAAGCAAGTCGAACCAGAAAACAGCAAAATGTGTTCTCTACACAGCACTGTGTCCATGATATCTACTAGTTTGATAAACATGTTGAATGGATTCATTTATTTAAGTAAATGGCTGATTTAGTTAAAAGTTATCTAATTTATTAAATACACTCAAAACAAGTCAGCCAAGGTAACGTTAAGCTGTTCATGTCTCGACTCAAGGTGGCAGTATCCGTATTGGTAAACCACAGGTTGCCATCAAATTTAAAGGAGGTCCTTTTGGGGTTAAAGTTGGGTTTTTATGATAAAACACAGCTAGGGGTGACTGAGGGTGTGCGTGTTTGTTGCTAGCTATTTTTCTTTTATTCACATAACAAAAATAACCCCTTTCAGACAAAATACGTCAAAAGTCTAAGACAAGTTATTTTAGATATTAAAATGTTGTGCTGGCTATAGTTACTGACATACAGTACCCATAACTAAACTATCAAAAGTAAAATCATACCAATTGTTATCGACTGCAGTCACAGTTTCTGGATCTCTGTACTCACAGCTAGTTATTTCTGTCTCCTATCACTAACCCATGTTTCCCAGAATACTATGGACTAGATCAAGGTAATGATTGGAACGTACCTTAGGTCTGGTTGTTTTGTGATGGCATTTTGATTTGGTGGTTGTTGTGATCCTTCTTTTATGTTTGCTTGCCGTAAACCTAAACGTAATACTCAATGTATTTCCTTGCCCTGTTGATAAGACCCCCACCCACCCTCTGGTGTTGATGGTAGCTTTAGAACTGAACCCCAGTAGTTGGACATTGATCTTGTTTTCAAAGAAAATATTGCAACTTTATTCAGTTTACATTATTGCAAAGTTAATACATGCTTGACTTAAGGCAAGCTGTTGAAACACTGACTGCTCATTTAAGCTACTAATTTTTTGTTATATATTGTTGAAACAGGCAAGTTGACTGAAAGCATGTTCCTATTTACAACTTTGGTCAGGAGGAAGAAGTGCAATTAGAAGGAAAGGTTTAAAAAAGAAACCTATATATGTTTATGCCAAAACATTTAAAAGCCAAACCACAAACAAACAGGATAGTCTCACACTATTGTTTAACCATAGAGATCGACTTATTTTAAGATCAGGTTACATGGGCGACATTTGGAGACCGGGCCCACAGGCATTAATTATGGCTGACTGTACATTTCTCTTACTGTATGTTGCAGCTCCATTTAGTCTCCTTCCCACTACAGACGTTTTATTGTGCAGCGTACTGTAGTTGTCTCAGGCGCACATTTACTGGGCATTTCGAAACAGTAAAAGAGAAGTCAGAGATTTGTCAAAACCCTTATGCTCATATATGCTATTTTCATATGCTGATTACATGGACAAAGTCAGGTCAACAGTGTCTGCAAACCACCAGCCTCTCAGCAGCCAACCCTTCACAGACCCATTCATTCCTATTGCCTCAAAACTGAATACAGAAATTGTGCTTTTTGACTAGCTTAACCTTTACTAGCCTCACTACATATTCCTTTTGGATCAAGCAAATGTACAACTTGTCCTGGATTATTCTGTGAGATTTGAAACCCTGCCCAACCTGTCTGTTGTACAATTGACCTGACTTTATCCATATTACATTTCATTTCATATAGATATATGTGTTCATACATACCCTGAGTGTTACTGGCTGTAGTTCCTCTGTGTTACATGGCATGTTGGATGTGGTTTGCTGATGCTGTTGTTGCATGCTGATGACATTGAGCTATGCTAATTGCTTTAAAACTAAGCTTGTCAGAGGAGAAAGGTTAATTAACTTTATGCATCTGGAAATAATTACATTTGAATAACAACGATGAAACCAGATAATGTCGCTCAGATGAAAAAGGTTTGTTCCGCACATTGTTTATCACTCTAGCAAGCTTAGTAAATGCAAGGGCTGATTAAGTTGCTGTGTTTCTTTTGCATCTAAAGGTCCTATCTGTTTGTGTGTCTGTATCTTTGTGTTCATGTCTATTTTTATTGTGTATATAGCAAGGGACTATGAGATTCAGCGAGATCGTATTGAGTTGGGACGCTGCATAGGAGAGGGTCAGTTTGGAGACGTCCATCAAGGAGTCTACAACAGCCCGGTATGTCTCTTTCTCACAGAAACACACACACACACACACACACACACACACACACACACACACACACACACACACACACGAAAGGGTGCAATATCTTTAATATCTGTAGCCCTTGATGAAAAGTAGCTTTATATCTGAATAATATACGGTAATTAAAACAGCCTATTATAGAATTCCCTTTACATGTAAATGCATTTTCTGCATAAATTATACATTCAAACTCATTGCAAATGTACAATAGTAGTAGATTTAAAAAGAAATCTTACGAAAGAAATCAAAATCTGCTTCTGACCTTATTATACGTTTGTGTGTTTAATTAATGCAGTCTTTTGCTAACCTCTTTTATCTTTGTTCTCTCTCTCACCCTCTTGCAAAGTCGCTTTGAAGCTAGACTACAAAGAATAAACTGAGCTGGAACTCACGTTAGAATAACTGCACAGTATAGTTGTAGAAAAAGGAAGTGATTGGATGGACTTGCCACTCATAAACCATGAGGATTAACCTATAAATCTCCTCATTATATGTTATTATATGATAAACAAACAAATAATAGGCTCAGTGTATTTTAATAGGCAGTGAATTTGCTGAATACAGCTGCTTCTGTTGTAATGCTGATCATTTTCTTCACTTCTGTTTTTTGCAGGAGAACCCGGACCTCTCTGTGGCCGTGAAGACGTGTAAGAACTCAACGTCAGACAGCGTCAGGGAAAAGTTTCTCCAAGAAGCATGTAAGGTCCTCAAGTGTGTTTCTCAAATGTTACCTTCTAACAATTCACTCAATACTTTTCAGAACACTACAGAAAATCGTGCAGGCTGCTAATGATCTGAACCTCTCTCCATGCAGTGACCATGCGTCAGTTTGACCACCCGCACATCGTGAAGCTGGTGGGAGTCATCACAGAGAATCCAGTGTGGATCATCATGGAGCTCTGCACACTCGGAGAGGTACGACACTGATATCAACTCCTATAAGGGTGTTCATTATCCGCTGGATTACATGGATGTGCATGTGTTTAAAATATGATTGGAGTAATTGTTTTGTACAGAATATACCTCGAAAGTGTTTCTTGTTTTGACACATTTTTTCAGTATTTGTCAAACAACAAGAGAGAATTTATCAGGTTAAACTTTATGGCAGAATTCAGATTATACAATAAATTGAGCACAAAACCCTTAGTCTGTTTTTGAAATAAATGTATGTCTAAAATTATTCGTTCAGTTGTTTGGATAAGTGTCTTCTATCATTAAACAACAACATTGGGATGTAAGGACAAAAATCGAGCAGGAAAGTAAGAAGATTCCTCTGTGAAAGCATGTTAATAAGTACAAAATAATTGCATTTGTTTTGGTTTATATTTCTGTTTTCATTAGTTTGTGATATTGGTTTTCCTTATATGCACATTTTAAGGAACATCTGAGCTTATGATGCATCACAACACATGTATCTGCAGCAGAAAAGCTGCCAACTGGTCATCTACTGCCTAAGTCTAATACACCCACATGGACCACGTCACACAATCTGTTGTTGACATAAACGATAATGTCCCCGTTAATTTATCTTGCATAGTTCCTTTTTATTCTAGTAATGGCACAGTTTGATTTATAAAACTGTTTGATAACTGTTGTTATTATTCCTCTCGTTCTGCCCATCTATCTCAATTTCTCAATTTTCTCATATCCCTGTCTACCTCTACTTTTCCTGATTTCTGTAACTCTGTCACCATCTAATTGTTCCTCTCTCCCTCTCCTTCTCTCATCCCTTTGTTTGTGTTTGTGTGTGTTCTCCTCCACAGTTGCGGTCCTTCCTCCAGGTGAGGAAGTACAGTCTGGACTTGGCCTCTCTCATCTTATATTCATCCCAGCTCAGCACGGCACTGGCATATCTGGAGAGCAAGCGCTTTGTACACAGGTATGTATAAAAGTCTCATATAATATAAATTTACAATGATATAGTTGCTTTTTAAATTGGGCTTGATTCAACCTATAAAGAAACAATATTAGTTTATGGAAAATAGATATTCCCTTCGAACCATAGTCCAGCATTGCAACCTTATTGGAAGATCACAATGAACAGCGTAGGTCTCATTTAATAAAATTTTTAAATAAAATGGAGAAAAATTGGGAATTGGGGAAACAAATATTGTCACCAACTCCAAGCATGTGGTTTCCCGAAAATCAAAAATAACGATATTATCATGATGTTTTTCAAGAAGCCACAGGAGAGAAATGTCTGGTCATGTAAATAAATAAAATAAATGTGGAAGTGTTTTGGATTTCCTCCCATTTTTGTTCTACGCTCCTCAGGGACATCGCAGCACGGAACGTATTGGTGTCCACAGCTGACTGTGTAAAGCTGGGGGACTTTGGTTTGTCTCGATACATGGAAGATAGCTCTTATTATAAAGGTAAATATAACACCTTTTTAAAAAGACACCATTTCCTGATAATTCCTCACTTAACCATCTTTGATCCTCATAACCAATGGAGCAAATCAGCATTATTATTCATTGGACTGACATGATTTTAGCTGATCATTAAAGTGTAACACCGTCCTTCTGATTTCTGTTTTTCAGCTTCTAAAGGTAAACTACCTATTAAATGGATGGCTCCTGAATCCATCAACTTCAGGCGATTTACCACAGCCAGTGACGTCTGGATGTTTGGTGAGTTAAATGTGTTGACATGCTTTCTTCTTTTCATTTCTGTGGGTTAAAATGTAAGGTTTTAATAAAAATGTTTAGATTGAATCTTTTTCACTCTTTACTCTCAGCATTTTGCAGCATTTAAGAGCCAATTTCTTGCCGTCTCAGTCTCATAGTGACTGACTTTTTCTGTTTTTCTGTCTTTCCATAGGCGTCTGTATGTGGGAGATCCTCATGTTCGGCATCAAGCCTTTCCAAGGTGTGAAGAACAACGACGTCATCGGCAGGATAGAGAACGGCGAGCGCCTGGCGATGCCCCCTCAGTGTCCTCCTACTCTGTACAGCTTGATGACAAAGTGTTGGTCGTATGATCCTAGCAAGAGGCCACGCTTCACTGAACTCAAAACACAACTGAGGTACTTAATGGAGTGTGCTTTGGGAGTATGTGAGGGTCTTTCTGTGTATCTGTAAGAGCAAACATATTGTGGTTTACTTTATGTCTTTAAGTTGGAGAAATGTGGGGTTCAGTGTCCTGCTCAAGGACACAAACCACTGATGCTCTTTCTCTTTTCTCTCTTTTCTTCTTTGACAGAAAGATAATTTATTCTATCTGAATATTTACTTTACCTCAAATGAAGAAGCAAAATAGGCATTTTTGTGTCCCTTGCAGAAATGTTGCGTTGTAATGCATTGAGTTAAAGAACCTAGACATAGTAAAACGAAATTTTAAAATGTACGTTTTTTCTAAGATAGCCTCCCCTTATATCTACCCCAATAATGACAGTATTAGTTTGTTTTCAAAATGATACTACCAGCCTGCCTGTCTTTTCAAAGTGAAGTTGTTACATTTGATCCTTCTGCATGTTAATCTATACTATTTTCTCAGTTGTAGTTAAGATAAAGGACTGTGCCACAGTTAATTACTTCTGCTCCTTACACCTTCCTGACAGCAGGGGTCACTGTCTGTTATATAATCAAACCAAATCAGTGGAAGTATTTTACTTTTACAATTAGGCCACATACTCTGGCTTTTGGAGAGGTCTCATTTACATGACTTCTTATTTGTTCATTGGAGAGGCAAACTGGATCATTTTATTGTCCTGGCTTTTTGTCTGCTCTGATTTAATCCAGTTTTATATACTAGATTCAATTTAATTATCTTCATTTACGGAAATGACGGCATAAATCTTGTCACTCCACTAAATTCTCCAGATAAAAATGTATCTTATCATTTTCAACAAATATTAAGAATATCCTAACTTGCAGATTTCTTTTAAAGTTGAAGTTTGTGAAGTTCATTATCTTCAGCTATACGTGTGTTTGGCGTTGTTTACATCTACACCGGTTGAATAATATATATTCTAGTATTTAAGTTAATTTGTACCCTTGTATACAGAGGACAGCAGTTTCTACAGGTTTTAACACCCTCACATTAACCTTTATGTCAGCTCTTTAACCTCAAAGTCATTAATGTTTCTTTTCAAATGGAGTCAAAACAAAACTGTCCAAATACTTAACATCCTGTTTGGGCTGATGACTGTATGATCGGTATGGCAACAAAGATATGATAATGACAGAGATAGATTAAATGAGATATCTCGGTCACGCCTCGCCTCCTTGTTAAATGATACATCACTGCCTTGTTACCATCTTTTCCCGGAGACAGATTAGGAAACAGAGAGATCTTATCCATCAGGAGACAATATGCCGGCCACGGTTTGATCAGATAAGGCGGAGCTAGACAACACTGTACACATTTTAAACAATTTGCTGCGGTAGTCCCTGAGTCACTCATCACCGTGATGTTCCCCTTTCAGTAGGAAGAGTCCAACGTATTCAAGAGTCATATTATGTCGCAAATAACTTGGCAAGACCGTTCACAATTTGTAAACTGTTTTATTAATGTACTGAGGGTCGATAAGAAGGGCAACTTTGAGGAATAAGGTAACATTGTGTCAGTCGTCATCTTGTGCCAGTTGCAAAGGAGAGAAAATCCGTAAATCTGACATGTTTGATGATTTATATCTGCCAGTGTGGGGTTACAGTATGTGATTACAATTATTGCTAATCACAGCATGCTGGCAGCCAAAATAACACCCACAGCTCTCAGATCATAATTTCCCCCCAACACGCCTTCACAAATCCGGCCCACCAACATGTTGAATATCAGTACATTTCAATTTCGCTCCAGTGTTGTAATGCTTCATCAGAATTTTGGCTCTACTATGTGCTACAGATTTGAATTCTAACACCCTCCTTCTGACGACCCGTAAAACTATGCAGTTATAATCTATAGTTTTGTAGAATAAAGTAACGTTTTTCCGAAGGCAGAATTGTAAGAAGAGTTAGCACTGTTTATTTTTCATTCATCATTAGATTTATGTAGTCTTAGAGTAGGAGTAGAGCTTTTCCCAGCCACCATGACTCAACAATTCATAATCATACAGACAGGAACAGACCTGCAGTTTTTTGTTAGTGATCCTGTAGCTCTACAGTGGAATCAGATGAGGATGTATTCTTGCAACACAGATCTTACATTCATTAAATAAACAACAGGATATGAATGTACAATATGAGCTGAGACAATAGGACACTACTTGGATTACATTCTGTGCACAGTTTGCTTGCTCTTTCATATTTCTTCAGAATCAGAATACATTTATTCGTTCCACAGAGGGGAAATGTGCATTTGTTACAGCAAGAAAAGAGCCAATGACGGCTTAATATTAACCAAGAAACATAAAACAAGATTAAAAATAAAAACAATTACATATTTACAAAATACACATCCTGTAACAGATCCTGTTCTTAAACACGACAGCGGCATTCCAGATGTTAGCTGCCACTTTATTTACAGCAAAACCAGTCTGCCTTATATGATGGCCTTTTATCCTTTTTCAAAATATGAACTGTTGGTTTGCAGATTGATGTGCCAAAGATATTCCCCCGTTTATTCATTAATACATGAATGTGTCGTCTAAAGGTTAATTCATGTTTTATTATGAAATCCTTCCATATATAATCTATTTAAGATACCTTTTGCCACACTTACTGAATGTGAGTTAGTGAGTCTGGACAAACATGGATGTAAACTGTAACTAAACTGGTTGAACGAGGTACACAACACAAGGGCGGCGCTGATTTTATTTGTTAACATTTTACACCATGATGCTAATTTTGAGGCTTGCACTCGTATATACATATTTAGATAAAACAACCGCACAAAAATCAATTCAAAATGCACATTCTTCCTCTCTCTCTCTCTCTCTCTCTCTCTCTCTCTTTCTCCCTCTCTGTGACCTTCTGCAGGCTCTGAGGCTGGAGGAGGAAGAAGTCTCTGGAGGTTCATCTTGTCAGCGGGCGGAGAGAAGCTATATTTCCTGCCATCCTTCAATGAAGGCCACCTGGAGAGGCTCAGGTAGGACTCAGTGTAATGTCGCCGCGGAGAATAAACAAATACCCAAACTGATACAGAAATAAACCATGCATACTATTTAGTTTGAACAAAATGAACACTGAACCATGTTGAGGATTTAGAGGGACATTGAGGATGTAATTTTCAACCTAAAATGTGTGTGTATGTAAGGTAAGGTACATTTATTTATATAGCACATTTTCAGACACAGAGAAAGACAAGAAGACAACAGAAAGGAACACAATAAATAAACACAATGGAATAACAAATTCATGAAAACCATGCATAAAAGAGATACAGAATAGTTTAAAAACAACAAATGTAAAGTTTTAAAACGTGGGAAAACATCTTGAAAAAAAAGAAAATACACTCATTTTCCGTTACCGTACATTAAAGCGGAGATAATTAACAACAAGCATTACTTCTTTTTTATATCCATTACTTATTCAGTCTTCAAACCGTCAAACTACGGCTGGTGATGTTGAACAGTGGCGAGACACGTGATGTATTTCGTTTTTTAAGATAAGATGGTAAATGGACTGTACTTATATAATGCTTTATCCAGTCTTTAAGACCCCTCAAAGCGCTTTACATACTACATGTCATTCACCCATTCACACAGAGCAGTGTACCTTACTCTAGGACCTAACATTCACTCAGAGCAGTGTACCTTACTCTAGGACCTAACATTCACTCAGAGCAGTGTACCTTACTCCAGGACCTAACATTCACTCAGAGCAGTGTACCTTACTCCAGGACCTAACATTCACTCAGAGCAGTGTACCTTACTCCAGGACCTAACATTCACTCAGAGCAGTGTACCTTACTCTAGGACCTAACATTCACTCAGAGCAGTGTACCTTACTCCAGGACCTAACATTCACTCAGAGCAGTGTACCTTACTCTAGGACGTCCTAAACATCTCATACAGACAGTGCACCTGAACTCTTAGGACCCTAAACATCTCCTCAGGAGCAGTGCACCTGTCACCTCCTAGGTCCTAAACATTCACACAGAGCAGTGCAACCTGACTCTAGGTCCTAAATTCACACAGAGCAGTGCCACTCTGACTCTAGGAACTCTAACTTTCATACAGAGCAGTGCACCTGACTCTGTACTGTTGGGATGCCTAACATTCATCACAGAGGCAGTCTATGCTTTGCTGACTCTAGGACCTAACATTCACACAGAGCAGTTAACCTGCTCTAGGGGACCTCAACATTGCGACACAGATCAGTGCACCTGACTCTAGGAACCTAACATTCACACAGAGCCAGTGCCACCTGACTCGTAGGACCGAAACATTCACTCAGAGCAGCTGCACCTGACTCTGTGTGAATGTTAGGGCTTCCTAGAGTCAGGCTTGCACTGCCTCTGTGTGGAATGTTAGGCCTTAGAGTCAGGTACACTGCTCTGTGTGATGTTAGGTCCTTAGAGTCAGCCGTACACTGCTCTGTGGTGAAGGTTAGGGTCCTAGAGCTTCAGGTGCACTGTCTGTATGGAAGTTAGTTCGCGCGGGGAGCTCAGGCTGCACCTTGGGAATGTGAACTAAGTCAGGTGCCACTGCTCCTGTGTGAATGTTAGGACTAGAGTCAGGTGCACTGCTCTGAGTGATGTTAGGCTAGAGTCAGGTGCATCTGCTCTGGTATGAATGTTAGACCTAGATGTCAGGTGCCACTGCTCTGTGTTGAACGTTAGGTCCTAGATCATGGTGCACTGCCTCTGTGCTGATAGATGTTAGGACCTAGAGTCACAGGGCACTGCCTCTGTGGGAATGTTAGTGAACCAGGAGTCAGGTGCACTGCTTCTGAGTGAATGTTAGCCTAGGAGTATGTGTGGGCATGTGCTCTGAAGTGGTAATGTTATGGTCCTAGAGCAGGTACACTGCTCTGTGTCTGTGACATGTTAGGTCTAGAGCATGGTGCACTGCCTCTGTGATGATTATGTTAGCGTCCTTAGAGTCACGGTGCACGCCTCTGTAGTGGAATGATCATGTGTATG